GACAAAGTCTTTAGTCCTCCATGCTGTTGTAACTCTCCTCCAGTGCCCTCAGTGTGGCAGGCTCATTGATGGGCTCTGGGGGTTCCTCATGGTGTGAACTTTGGCAGGTGGGGACAAGTGCTGGAGCAGAGTCTGATGTGGCTCCTGGGTGCTGAACCTGAGCTGCCTTGGTGCCACACCTGCCCCACCTGGTGGTCAAACCTTGTCACTACATCTGAATACCTTCACACCCCAACCTTCCCAGGATCATCTTCATAACTGGTAAGACAATTGCGAACTTTTAAATGGTAAACTAGGCTATTAAATGAATGAATGAATGAATGAATAAATGAATGAATGAACAATTGCCTGATAATATGCAAACCTTAGAAAAACTTAATAATTTTAAGATACAAGCCTTAGAAGAGCTTAGTACTGATACTATGCAAGTCCTACTAATAATTACTAAGGAAAATAATACAATTTTGACTGATAAGTTACAAGCCTTAGGAAAACTTATTAAAACAGATAATAGAGATATTCAGACACAGACATAGGAATTTAAAGGAGAACACAACACACTGCCTTCAGATGCAAGTCATTAGCAGACAGTGTCTCCGCCTCACCAGGAAACTACTAAAGTTCCTGTAGAATAAAGTAGAATTTCATAAGATCACAAAATTTAAAATTTCTGTTTTGGTATTAATGACATTATAAAGTGCTAATCCTAACCTTAGGCTTCATGTAGCTTCCTGTATGTGATTTCAGGCTTGAGTCTGAAACAGATATTTAGGAATTAAGCCTGAATATCCCAGATGATCATGGTCCTTTAATCTCCCTAAGTTTTACAGCTTATGACATTTAATATATTTAAGTTTTCTGCAGTGAACGATAAACATTCCTAACATCCATCTCCAAAGTCTCCAAAATCCATGACAATTCTACCTAGATTGTGGTAACTCCACTAAGCTGATAAACACCATGCAAAGATTGACATTCGACTACAAACTGCTGAGGATAATTCTGAGGTGGTTAACTGAGATGGTCTACCTTCATGCACTACTGCAGCCAGGACTTCAGATAAGCTTTATACTTTCTCATTACTCAGAGACAGGCAACAAATGATGATGCAGCCAGTTCTCCTGAGACTTGACCATTGTCTCAGTTTTTTTCAGGGTCCCCTAGAGATGTGATCATTCCCCAGACAGCAGGAAATAATTTTAAGTACACAATGCCCATACTCCCAAGAGGTGGGACGGGTGCGTAGTTTTTGGTCTTTCACTGGTTATGGGTATTTGTCATCATGTAGGGGTTGGTTACAAGTTGTTATTGGTATGGTCAGGAAAAAGGAGATTAGATTCAGGGATCTAGTTCTGAAAAGCAAAAAGGGATATAGAAATGATAGGATAAAAGGGTAGATTATTGAATCTACTTTTAAACTAAAAAAGCAACTACTAGTCTTAAATATTTTACATTGGTATGGATTTTTGTATGTTGAAAATTTAAGGTTATTTTTGTAGTATGTTTCTACTCTTGTGTTTTTCTTTCTTTCTTTTCTCTTTTTTTTTTTTTCTTTTTTGCAGAGCTGAGAACCAAACCCAGGGCCTTGTGCTTGCTAGGCAAGCACTCTACCACTGAGCTAAATCCCCAACCCTGGTGTTTCTACTCTTGTTTAAGATATTTTGTAAATTGATATAAATTTAAAGTTATTTTGTTAGAACATGCTGTACATGCATTTCTACTCTTGTTTAAGGTATTGTACCTGTGCATCAAAGAACCTCCATACAGAGTTTGCTTTCACTGTGGCAAAGCTAGCCATTTGAGCAAGAAACTGCCCTTGCTTAGACTACTGACAGTATTCTGTACAAACTGGACAAGCAGGACAAAGGAAAATGACTGCTGAACTTTGTCAAGACAAGGTAGGACAGTCCTTCAAAATTCCTGCTTTATAGAAAAGTCTGCCGGATATTCTAGGCCTGCAAGTCAAAGATGGACACCCAGGGTTGCAAAGGAACTTGGGTGACTGTCCAGGCAGCCAGTTGTTTCTGTCATTTCTCATGCTTTTTGGAAGTTGATTGCTATGCACTTCCTGCTCACTCAGGTAATATTATTTCCTTCTCTGGTCTTTGATAGGGTTGAAGACTAGACAGTTACAGTTACAGTTCTCCCAAATCTTGGCAAAAGGTCTATTAGGTACAAAACTTTGAACTCTTCAGGAGAGGAAGGCTATTGGAGTAATCTCTATAAATTTGTCAATTACTTATGGACTGGACATTGAGAATGTATTTCTTTTATTTTTATTTATTTATTTATTTACATTCATGATATTCATTAATTACAGTCATATTAATTACATTTGTTATATTCATTGATTACACTCACAGTATTCATTTAATAGTTTTATTTATAATATTCATTAATTACATTAATTGTATTGATTTATACATTCATGATATTATGTCCTAATACTACTGTCCATTTGTAGGGCTTTTCCATCACACAAAACAGAGATTCTGTGCATAGGAAATCATTGCTGTATAGAGAATGTATTTCTTACTTGATAATTGTTCTTGTTGTATGTACTTTCATTTTTTTTTTGTTGAGGTTATTGCCTTTCCTTTCTATTTGAACAGTTCTTGATAGTAATTCTTATTGTACATAGTTTTACTATGTTAGAGTTAGAACCTTCCCCTTCTTATTAGACAAAAAGGGGAAATGTTATGGGATTTCTGTTCATGTTGCTGGTTCATTGTTGAATTGAAAAGAATTTCCATTCAGCTGGCCAGAATGGATCAGTAAGTCTTGGAGGATGGAGGAGAAGGAGAAAGATGACCTGGAGGGAAGAGGTTGGGCCAGAAGGTCGCATGGGCCCTTTTGGAGCTGAGAAACGACCACCAGTGGGTGCTGGAATGGTAGCTTAGATCTGTCCCAGGTTTCCTTTAGTGTTTGTGCACAGGATCCATTTACTAATAAATAGTGAGAGTCATTTTCACATCATAATCATAAATAAGTGGAGGAGGGAGATAGTGCGGGCAGCTCAATCAGATTAGAAACTCAGGCCTACGAGGCTCTGGTGCTAGGAAAAGGCACAACCCTGAGCTCACATAGAAAACAATCTTGACTCCAGTTCCTCTCCTCTTCCACGAGGGCCTCCTAGCCCAGCATCACAACCCATGGAGCTGTCCAGGGCCATTCACATCATGGTATCACTGCTCACAATCCTCCTGTCTTCTGAGTGAACCCCCAGGCAAGCTCAGGGTTGAGTTTATAGCACGTGGAGACCGTAGTAGCAGCTCCAGGGAGGAGGGTGCATAGAAACAGAACCCCGTGCAGGAAGGCTCCTGGTGAACAGCACGCAGAGCACTGTAAAGGGAGGCGGAGATTTTTGTCCAGACCGCCTAAATGAACACAAAAAAGCTTATGTTAATTACAAAATGTTCTGCCAATAGCTCAGGCTTATTATTAACTAGCTCTTACTTTTAAATTAACCCATTTCTATTAATCTACGTATTGCCACAGGGCCCGTGGCTTTACTGGTCCTTTGGCATCTTGCTTCTTGGGTGGCTCACTCGAGTCTCTCCCAA